CGGCCTCCCTTCTCTCCCCTCTAGATCTGTCTATGGAGGCTGCACGTACAGCTAGCTAGGGGGCCGCCTGATCTGCGTGCACACACACGCACATCCGGTGTGCTCCTATATGCTTGCGGCAGCTAGCATGCAGCTGGTAAATATGACAGATCATTGTATACTGTACACGTTCAGGACAAATTCTCTGCTCGAGCGCTGCAATAGCTAGTATATATATGAAGTATGCTGTCATGCATAAGCACGATAAATATGGACAGAGATCGATCGATCGATCGAGCAGCAAGCAGGCCGGCTACACACATTGACCATGGATGACAATACTGTCTCCAACTCTCGATTGGTAGGTCAGGTCTATACCTCAAATCAGTACCTACACATAGGATATCAATAGTTAATTAACATCGACCCTGCTTTCCATTGTTGCTTCTTTCCCTAATTAGTCCCCAAATGAACAATCCTATGTGTGTGCATGTGCCATATTTTCTTTAGGTGGGGCTAGTAGATGTGTAGGAAAATATAGAATTTTTTTAATAAAAACAAACATATTCAATATTACATCTCAACGATATTAATTTGGTGTTGTATATATGTTGGTAATAAGTTATGATTAAAAAAAATCAAAACGATTTATAATACGAAATGAAGTGAGTTGAATTTGCATGTTCGTAGAGAGATCTATCTCATACTAATTTATCTTACCACTTTTATAAAGAAAAATGCTATATTTATTTAAGTGATAGTACATAAGAAACCAATGCAATGATATTTAGTCGAGCGATTTTTTTTTCTTGACGAAGATTGATACATGCAAGATTCAAACTTTTTTCTTCAAACTTTCAACTTTTCCATCATATCAAATATTTGGACATATGCATGGAGCATTAAATGTGGACGAAAAAAACCAATTGCACAGTTTACATGTAAATTGCGAGATGAATCTTTTGAGACTAATTACGCCATGATTTGACAATGTGGTGCTACAATAAACATTTGCTAATGATGGATTAATTAGGCATAGTAGATTCATCTCGCAGTTTACATGCGGAATCCGTAATTTGTTTTGTTATTAGTCTACGTTCAATACTTCAAATGTGTGTCTGTATACTTAGAAAAATTTAGCACACCAACTAAACACAGCCATGGTGGCACTTTGCCGAAGGATCTATTTTCTTGGATGTTTTTTTTTTCGCGAACGCGCAGAAGAATTGCACGATCAATATATTAGGAAAAAAAGAGTTTTAGTTACACCACGCAATCAGCCAGACTGGTTTATGCTAGGGGAGGGAAGAAAAAGCAAAATAAGAAAAAACTTAAGCTTAGAGAAACTACGGCGGCTAAAACAGACTCCAAGCAGCGGAATGGAGCTAAGCCACGCTAAACTTATTTTCTTGGATGTTGGACCTTTAATTTTGAGCTGAATTTAATTAGCTTGGTAGAGGTTGACTGATGAGTCCTCCTTTCTTGATTTCTACAGGTACGTACGTATACGTAGCCCGTAGGTAGGCGTAGCTTACTTTGTGAGGCACGGAGGCCAAGAGCTCGATCGATCATCAGCTCGTTGTGGCAGCTAGCGTCTCTTGCGCATGCATATATAGCAGCTACTCCTATCTATATAGCCTTTAGTTTTTTTTCTTTTTCCTTTTCGTTGGACTCTAGCTAGCTTTCACTCTACTGTAGTGTGTGTAGAGCATAGATAGCGCCGTGCAGGCTTCTCATCCGTCTTCTTCCTCTATTCGAACGGTTTTGTTGGAGCTGATCATAATCGATCTTCTAGCTAGCTAGAACGTGGAGATACAAATGCAGCAATATGTTTTGAGAAATGGTGCAAATTGGAATTTTAACTTTAATTCCTAGCAGTCTCTAGTCATGCGTTTGGTTCAAGGGATGGGTTGAGTTGAACCCATTTTCCAGGATGGTTTGCTTTAAGGATATGTAGGAGATGATCCCTGAAAGAGAATATTATCCTAAAATCTGGGTTGAACTGTTATGTTTCACTGATATGTGAGTTATCCCCTGAAAAATAGGACCAATCCATCCCTCACGCCAAACGGATAGATGTGACGATCCCGTCCTAAAAACAAGGATGAGTCCAACCCATCCCACCTCAGCTCCAAATCAAACACAAACTAAGGGCATTTACAACGTTCTACTCTGATGTGTATCTCACGTTTCGCGTTAACAACGAGCGGAGTATCTTAAAATGTATCAATGTTCCTTGCAAAGAAGATGGGTGGCTTGAGAGTAAAAGCAATGGTCAAGGAGAAATGGATGGTTCTGGAATTGGGGAGAAGGCAACGAATGTGCAAATTGATAAGTCGTCGATCTTTCGTTATAGACGCTATTGACTAGGCCGCTATGTCACTAGTTCTCTATTATTAAAACCGTCGTTTCACCAATCCACTTTATCCCCTTTGCCATCGCACTAGTTAGATTTTTCACTTAGTCTATCGCCCAGAGCAAACCAACCATTGAGGTTGTCTAAGATCCGTAAATGGGTGGTGGTGACGATTGTGATGGTTGGAGGTATGGAGGATGATACCGATGGTAAGTGGGAACATTTTGGGTATAATGAGAATGGGCTTATGTAAGTCAAATCCATAGGGAAAGAAAATGGTAGTGCCCGAAGCCCGAGCTACGGGGAGATAGGGGCAATGGTGGTCGGACGAGCGAAGGAAGAGCGTTGATTGTCATCCTCATCAGTATCGTCATTAATTAAATAGAGGACAATGAAAGAGAACGAATGTATAAGAAAGATAGGCGATGAGATATAAATCCTGTGTGGTGGCTTTAATTTTGTGCCACAGGCACTTTCTATTAAGCATGCATGGACCCCCATATCTTCGGCAAGACGTATGTATCCTGTATGTGATGCCACTCTCCCGTTTAATAAAGCCGCTTAGCTCCGACGTGAAAGCATGAGGTCATTCGTAATGCCATCATGTTATAAATATCATTATTAAGTAATAACATTTGTAAAAAAAAAAAAAAGATGTTGGTTCTCGCATGGTATAGGAGAAGGTCGAGCTGTGCGTGGCGGCCAGATGTCATGTCGATTTGACCCACGTAAAGTAGCATGTCATGCCACGTAATAGTGGAGGCAGATGCCACCGTGTACTACGTACGGACCGGTAGTCAACTGTGTAGCCCAATCACCACTTGACGCCCGTCTTTATCTACTCCGTACTGTGTATCCCACAACGATAATGATCGATCGATTCATCGAGTCGTCATGCATGAGGCCTACCACCAATCTAATGAGTCCGTCACCATTTGGTTGATCTCCTCTAATCTCATGTGTCCGCTGCATCCTCAGTGACAGTGTCCTCCTCTCCAAACTGTTATGCGTAATTCGTTGAATCGTTGAGCCAAAAACCAATTATACGATGATGAAGAGGTGCGTGCATGCAGACAAGCAAGCAGATGATTCAAGAAGATCATTAGAGATGGAAAATCTGGGTTTGGCAGACAGGGATCATCAATTTCTAAGAAGCAGAGCGATTAGTACTAGTAATAAAACTGCAGTGCCCTAGGCATCTCATCATACTCATGCACCAATACATTACCAAATCGTCCTTTGTCTTCACACGTGCATGGCACGTGTGTGGTGCCAGTGGCGCTGACGTCACCTGCTTCCCCTCTGTAGCCTGTACTAAACCCCCCTTTTTTTTTCTTCTCTACTTTTATTTCCCTTTTTCCTTTTTATGGACAGGTCTTTTTCACTTTACTCCCCTTGTTCATGCATTATTTAAATATTGCAGTGTTCATAGGACGCTGCTGTTTTTATTTTTTGTGTGGAAATCATCATCTCGATTTGGAATGGTAGTGACACACTGACACTAACATTCAGTTTGAACAAACACAAGAATTACTAGAGGGTCTATTCGGCTGGCAGGACTGTAGCAACAAGCAATATAGCCACAACCACACACAGTATGCATCGCAGCCGTAGCGCTGCCACAGAAACAGCTACCGAACATACCCATAGTGTATATATTGTAAAGTTGTTATATACTTACAACTGCATTTTCGTAGTACTATTATTGTTTTTTTAGGTCGGTTTTCGACGTAGAGTGAATGATGCATGAGAGAGTCAACGACATAGCGGCCGACGGGCTCACTCTCAAAGTTGGGCAGACGCAAAAGTCAGAGAGGAGGGGAAGAGCATGAAGGGGTCCTAGAGGAAGCTAGGCGGCGGAAGAAGCCGGACAGCACAATCGACAGCGTGGAGTTGGGCCACGTAGTTGTGGCGTGTTGGGCCGCATTCGGTGGCAATGGCAACGGGACAAAGGTGTGTTGCTCGTCAGCTAGAAAAAGAAGAGTCCGGGGAAAAGTAGAGTTAGATTACTTCTCATTTCCTTATAAATCTTCCTCTATTCTTATCCTCTATTTCAAGTTCTCCCATTATATATAATTCTCTGTTTTTCGATCCTCAATTTTACATTTGAATTCATTTTTTATTCCTATATCTTCCCTAAAGTATGGGGGTGTTTAGTTCACGCTAAAATAGAAAGTTTGGTTGAAATTGCAACGATATGATGAAAAAGTTGAAAGTTTGTGTGTGTAGAAAAAATTTAATGTGATGGAAAAGTTAGAAGTTTGAAGAAAAATTTTGGAACTAAACTCGGCCTATGTTTTTTCTATCGTGTGATTCGAATGAGCCCTTGGTACAAACAAATAAAGAAATACTAATAACTGGAGCAGCGTAAAAAATAAAAGAGAGAAGACGATAGTAATAGATAGGAACATAGGAATTGAAAGAGAGAGAGAAAAAAAAAAAAAGGAGTCGCCCCAAAACCCGGACAGGATTGTTAAAGAAAAAGCGAGGAGGGGTTTCCTGAAAGAGCAACAGTCCATTCAAACCGGGACAAGGACCTGAAGGAGAATAATAATGAGCACCCTGGGCTGGCCTGGATGGGTGGAGATACAAATATGGATATTAGCAGGGTCCCCTTTCGAAAAGAGGCAGGAGATAAAGCCGAGCACCCCACCAGAGATGCAAAATGGAAACCAAACCTGACTACCTTCCCTGTGCCTGTGCTACCCTCTCCCTTCTTCCTTCCTCCTCTCTTCACCCCTGCACTCTGCACTGCCCTGCCTCATCCTCTTCTTCCACCTCCAGCTCCAGCTCCAGCTCAGACCGTTGTGAGGGGTGAGTGAGATTTTTGGCTGGCTGCATTTTCTTCCTTAGCTCAGGTCAAACCTTCTTAATTACCCGACCGGCATGTAAACCACTTGATGCAGCGAACTAGGTGAAGTGAAGGTGAGTGACACTCTCTACTCGGTAGCAAGCTAGGTGAAGATAGTGGAGTAGCAAGCTGCAGGCAGGCGCCATGCAGTCCGGCTACGGCGGCGTCTCTGAGTTCCAGCAGTACATCATGGACCCCGGCGCCTTCGCCATGTCCGCGCCGCCGCAGCCCGCCCAGGCGGCCGCTGCCGCTGCTGCTGCCGCGGCGGCGGCGGCCGGTGGCCAGGAGCTGGGCGCGCCGTTCAGGTACCAGCCGCTGCACCACCACGCCCTGCCTCAGCACCACCACCACCACCACCCGCCGCCTCAGATGCCTCCCCACTTGGCGCACTTCGGCGGCGCCGGTGGGATTCCCTTCACGCAGCAGCTGCTCCACCAGGCGGCCGCCGCCGGCCACCACCCCCACCTCCAGCTCTTCCACGAGCAGCACCACCACCAGAAGCACCAGCAGCAGCCACCGCCCCCGGCTAGGTGGGCCCCGCAGCACCACCACCACCACCACCCGCACCACCATCTCGGCCTCGACGTCGAGGCGGCCGTTCCGGAGAGCTCCGGTGCCGGCGCCGGGAGCGCTGCCTCCGGCGCCGCCGCCCCTCCGGGCGTCCCTCCGTTCCTGGCCGCCGCCATGAGCTTCAAGCTGGGGGTCGACGGCGGCGGCGGCAGCGGCGCCACCGGCGGAACGGACGACGCGCTGAACGACGGGGGCGGCGCGGGCAGCGGCATGATGCTTCATGGAGGAGGAGGAGGAGGTGGTGGCGGGGATGACGAGGCGGCCACGGAGAGCAGGCTCCGGCGGTGGCCGGGGGACGAGGAAACTTCCATCAAAGAACCGACCTGGTACGTACAAGTTATCCTTACTCAGCCTAAAATTGAGTTGAAATTGGAGTGAGTGAGTGCGTGCTTGGAGTGGATTCATGCATCCATCCATGGTGGAGAAGAGAAGAACAGAGAGGAAAAGGAGGAGAGCTTTTTTTGCTTAGGATGCTCTCTTTGCTCGGGAGAGGGGAGCAGAGGACGGCCAATAATAGTGTCATGATTGAGAAAGGGAGCCATCGCTCGCAAGCGCAGGGTCCTCCTCCCTCTCTGATTTATGCACAGCACACAGATGATGATGATGGATGCGTCGCGATTCCTCCTCTCATCTCATCTTCTTCTTCTCCATCAACAGAATTCACAGCCACATCCACAACAACGCAAAGCTATCACCTTTTCGTCTCCCCCTTTTTCGACTTGATGATTACCTCACTCACCAAAAAGCGCCAAGCCAACCCAACCGCCCCCCTCAATTCGCCATTGCATGCACTCATCATTTCTTCTTCTTCTTCCTCGCCGCCCCGCCCCGCCCGCACGCCATATTCTTCTTGCAAATCAATTAGCAACAGAGCTGCAGCCAAATTGTGCAGATTAATTAGCTGTGGAGCGAGCTGTTGCTGACATTGATTTTGTTTTGTTGGATTTGCTGTGCAGGCGGCCACTCGACATCGACTACATACACAGCAGCAGCAGCAGCAAGAGGGCGCCGCCCAAGGACAAACCCGCCACTCCCGACTCCCCTGCGCCGCCGCCCCCAGCGTATTACTTCAAGAATAAGCCCGACGACAATGCCGCCGCCGCATCCGCCGCCTCCGCTGGCGCCGTCAACTACAAGCTCTTCAGCGAGCTGGAGGCCATCTACAAGCCCGGCAGCGGAGGCCCCCAGACGGGCTCCGGCTCCGGCCTCACCGGGGACGACAATGCCATGCTCGCGCCGCCCATGGCTGACCTCCCCGACGCCGCCGCCGCCAACCCGCCGCACCTCAACACGTCCGAGACGTCTGCCGGGGAGGACGCGCACGCCGTGGTGCAGCCGCAGCCGCAGACGCAGCAGCCGTCGGGGGCGGACGCGGCGCGCCGCAAGCGCAAGCGGCGGCGCCAGGAGCAGCTCAGCGCGTCGGCCTCCTTCTTCGAGCGCCTGGTGCAGCGCCTCATGGAGCACCAGGAGAGCCTCCACCGTCAGTTCCTCGACACCATGGAGCGCCGGGAGCGGGAGCGCGCCGCCCGCGACGAGGCGTGGCGCCGCCAGGAGGCCGACAAGTTCGCGCGCGAGGCCGCCGCGCGCGCGCAGGACCGCGCCAGCGCCGCTGCACGCGAGTCCGCCATCATCGCCTACCTGGAAAAGATCTCCGGCGAGACCATCACGCTCCCACCCCCCGCCGCCAACCCCGCTCCGGGCGCCGACGAGCAGGACGGCGTGGGGAAGGAGGTGGTGGCGTACGACGGCGAGGGGTCGCTGCAGCTGAGCTCGTCGCGGTGGCCGAAGCACGAGGTGGAGGCGCTGATCCGGGTGCGGACGGGGCTGGAGGATAGGTTCCAGGAGCCAGGGCTGAAGGGCCCCCTGTGGGAGGAGGTGAGCGCGCGCATGGCGGCGGCGGGCTACCGGCGGAACGCGAAGCGGTGCAAGGAGAAGTGGGAGAACATCAACAAGTACTTCCGCAAGGCCAAGGAGAGCGGCAAGAAGCGGCCGGCGCACGCCAAGACGTGCCCCTACTTCGACGAGCTCGACCGCCTCTACTCCCGCTCCGGCTCCGGCGGCGGTGGTGGGTCGTCCTCGGCGGGCGGCAATGGCGGGGAGGAGGCGAAGGGCAGCTCGGAGCTGCTGGACGCGGTGGTGAAGTACCCAGACGTGCGGTGCGCGCCGCCGGGTTTCCCGTTCGACGGGGAGCAGAACGAGGAAGGGAGGACGAAGGACGACGGCGACGAGGCGCACCATGATGGCGACGGCGACGGCGACGAGGAAGACGTTGGCGTTGGCGTTGGGAGAGCGACCGATGATCATGACGACCAAGTGGATGAGAGCCATGACGGCCATTAATTAACTAGTTTAGTGCTTATTGCTCTCTCTCCTTCCTTCTCATCATTAGCCATGCAATTAAGCTTCTTCTGCTGCTTAATAGCTCTCTCTCTCTCGTCTCATCGTCTCCTCTCATTCTCATCTGCACAAAGAGAGAGAGAGAGAGATAGTGATAGCTTGGCTGGGCTCACAAGTCACAGCATTTTTCTTCTTTTGTTGCTTCTGTTGGTCTCTCTTAGCTATATCCATTATTCCTTAATCCTTACATGTTAATTAGTGAGTACTGCTTTTTCGCTTATATATGATATGATCATCTACAACAGATTAGCTTATTAATCAGCTCCTACTCATCATCTCTCACTGTTCAAGGAGGAGGATTATTGTGGTTTATAATTTGTCCCTGCAATGCTAGATGTGAATGTGATCAGGAGGCCGTCCAATAGTCAAATGTCAGACGATGTGTCGGTAGATGCATGTTTTAATCATTTTCTTCTCTTTTTTAATTAAAACAAAACAGGTACTCCCTCGGCGTAAAATATAAGCATTTTTAGTACGGTGATAAGTCAAATATTTTTAACTTTAACTATTAGTATAAAAAAATCAATCTTGCAAAATTGATATTACTAGATTTATTATTAAATAAACTATTATAATATACAGCTATTTTTATTTAATGTATCTTATTTTTATAGATATTATTGATCAAAATAACATCTCATAAATCGTGTAAGGATAAAAAAAAGCTTTTATCTTTTGGAACTTTTGGAACGGAAGGAGTACTAGCTAGTCGTCGTCTTTGACTGTCTACCTGTGTGTGCGCTCCTCATGGTGGAATTATCACACTCCCTGCTTTGTTCATTATCATAATAATAATTGACACTATCAGCTGAGTTTCATTAACAACATATCATTGATGTTTCAACTGCATTTAACAGATACCCTCGAACAATTCAGCGAGTCAATTCGGTATAGCTATAAAATTCAAAGTAAATTTTCATAGACAAAAAAAAAATCCAACTTTAAAGTAGTAGTAACAATGCACAGAAGAGGGGTGGAAATCCGTGCAAGTTTGTAAGAGAAGAAGATTCAGACGGGGTATCAATGGACAAGGACAGGAGTATAAGCAAAGTTTATCGCCATGAGATTATGGAAGTTAGTTAGTTATTTCTTCCGTTGGCCGTGTCAAGATTATGGAAGAAGAAGAAGCCATTTTAGGCACGTGTGTGGAGTGGAGAGTCTGGTACTTCGTAGAAAGGCTGTCAGTAAGTCAGACACATCACTCTGAATGAATATGCAGAGAGTGAGCTCACAGTATCGCCAGCCAGCTGCTAGGCGGTTGTTCCATGGGTACGGTTGGTTTTTCCTGGCACCCACCAGCATACTCCAGATCCAGGAGGCGAGTATCTTCCTACAGTATACTTCACTCCTACCATGGCAATCCACATCCACAATGCTCGTCTCCTACCTAGCTAGTAGTGGTCTCGGCTCACCACTTAGCTCCACCGTTGGTGCCCATCCCACAGAGCCACCCTTGTATTGCAGAAGGCACGGGTGTCTCAGCTCTACATGTGGTTATCACCAAATACAATAGCACTTGCCGTCCTCTCCCTCCTGCCGGCGGCCACTGTGCACGCGCTCGTCCTCCCGACACCATTGCCGATCGAGCTTACCCCAACATCGATCGTACTCAGGCTTGCCCTCTTATCGCTGTCGAGCTCACCATATATATATTGTTGCCTAATCTACATTAATTGTTACGGACGAGAGGGAGTTTGTGTGGCCGGCCAGATACAAATTTAACTCGCTGTGTCATCATCAACAAGCTAGGACTACTCGAGCTAGATCCGGCGAGCCGGCCGGCCGCATGATGCACGTCACGTGATGGTTTGCATTGAGAGGGATAAGCTGGTGGCATCAACTCAACTGACGAACAAGGAGAGGAGGCTTGCTATGCTGGCCAAGGGAGGAGGTGATCGACAGCAATGCCAAGCTGCACCGCCGCCGACAACACCAGCATCGGTTGCGAAGAAAACAAGATGACATTTGGCTGCGCCATCGCATTATTTATATTTAACTTAATTTGATCCTTCATTTTATTAAAAAAAACATCGTAAAGACTTGAAACGATATATACTTATATTATTGGATCGAGTAACATTTACTAGTATGCATCATACGCTGACTATTAAAAATTATTAGCAGTTAAGGTTTAAATGATACTCACTGGTCAATAGTGCCAACAATAAAGTAACGGAGGGAGTGTGCGGTGTTTACATTTTGTAGGAAACAAAATTACGAATAATGCATAAATATTTGTACACAATTAATTAAGCAAAATACGTGCTACGTGTAGCTAGCACTATAGTTTAATCCACCAGTCAGCTGTGGTGCAGTATATTTTAGTGGGGCGATTCCTTTTTGGGAACTTGTGAGTGATCGGAGTAACTAAAATCTTGCGAACAATATACAATTACGTGCATGCGAGCATGTGTAGAGGTACTATAAAATAAGTGTCAGGTGATGGGCCATGCTGATGCTGTCTGTCTCTAATCACACACCACAGGGGTCTGTTATATAAATAAAGTGACTAATTAATTCTGCACTCCGTATCAATCTAAACATATCATAATAATGTTGCCCTGCACACGTATTACTACCACTATTTCGTTTCGTCCCACATCTCGATGAATTTGATTAAGGGATTTGTGCGTGCCACATGTTCAGGGAGAGGTCAGCACAGCGTTTTTCCCCCCATTTTTGAGTTCATGCATGGAACTGGAAACTGCAGGTCAGGTCAGCCAGGTCAGTCAGCGAGGTGGCTAGAGATGCATGCTGGTGCGTGTATTCTCCAGCCCAATTATGTGGGTTTTTTTTTTTCAAATAGCTGGATATATATCTAAATGGATTGTGATGTTATACACTACTACTACTATAAAGTCAAAATATGGATTTAAAATGATATTCCAAAAAATATACTCTCTCTATCTTAAAAAAATACGTTAGATACTTATTTAGGAACATAGTATATATAAAATGTTTTTTTTAAAAAAAAATCACTTATTCTACAAGCACGGGAAGCATGCGAATATATGCATATGATGACCATGTATATAAGAGTATACGCGAGTGCTGGCCTGCTTGATCTCCTTGAGGTATTTCTTTTCATATCTTAAAACATTTCTAGGCGTGTTAAAATTAAAATTAAGGTGTAAACTAGTAGTAGGTGTACATACAAGTGTGTCATGGAATAACCTTGACATGGATGTCGATTTTAGAACGGATGTTGTAGTACCATTTCAGTTATTTCTTGTTCCCTACTGCTATATATATTCACAAAATTCTGCTCCAGGTAGTCCTGAATATGCCGATGTATGTATACGGTATACCGTATAGTACGAGGGTGGGGAGAGAGAGGGGGGTGACGTCAGCGAAAGGAAAGGACGGTAGGGGCCCCCAGCGTTGGACATGTCAGGACAGGTACGACAAGGAAGGACCGTCCGTCACCTATCCATCGTCTCCTCTCTCCCTCTGATGAGTCAGTCCGTTCGTCCTCTCCTTTTCTTTCTTTCTTTTATTTTATTTTTCCCTTTTTCTCTTCTTTTCTCCTTCTCTCTCTTCCCTGATGGAGTCACCTCCTGTGACAGTGAATGAATTATTGAAGGAAGCACAAATCAACGCTGGCCTTCTCCATTTTTGGCTCTTCTGTCTCTACTTTTTTTTTTCTCTTTTACAATAGAAATATAGTACACTACCACCATTCACGCACATGGAAAAAGGGGAAATTTTATTATTTTTTCATTCTATTTATCCCATAATATAAGATATTTTAGTGTGCTACTTATCGCATCCATCAACTTTAATTTAAATTTTTACTACCTACAGTATATATTTTAACACCAATCTACCCACTCAAGCACAACCAAATCTCATTTAATAGGGTATTCTAGTCTTTCTTGCTATCATTAATCTACTAAAAGGGAATAATCCCTTATATTAGGGTATATACAATGATGTTTAATATCCGTTGCCATGATGTAAATTTGATGACGTCGAAGAGAGAAGGGGAAAATGAAATATGGTTGCTCCGCATAACAACAACTCAGAGTTGATTCTTAGTATTTATTAAAGGAAATTTTATTGCATTAGAGATGGAGAAAAGAAAAGAAGGATATAAAAAATATTTTGGTGCATTAATGGTTACTCATATATATTAGAGAGCTTGTTATCTGAACAATAAGAGTATATTTCTCTAAGTGATGTGTACTGTATTAACTAAGAGCTCGTATGGGGCGGAGGGAGTACTATCTACTTCATACTTGATCCCTCCGTCCCAAATTAGATATCGCTTTCGCTTAGCTTTTTTTCTTGTAACGTTTGACCATTCGTTTTATTTAAAAATTTAATGCAAATATAAAAAATGATAAGTCATACTTAAAATATTTTTAGTAATAAAACAAGTCACAAACAAAATTAATTATAATTCCATAATCTTTTGAATAAGACGAATGGTCAAACGTTACAAACAAAAACTTGAAATATCAAGTATTTTGGAACTGAGTTAGTATAAAGAATGGGCACACGACTATTGTAGTATATAGGATGCTCCTCTTGCGAAGAACTGTAGTATCCTATCATCAAATCGTGTAGTAATATTTAGAAATAATAAAATAGCACGACTTAATAATTTTGAAATTGTAATTACTAATTATCGAGTTGCATTCAAGTTTGCAATTGTACCCTTTATTATGTTTCGATAATTTTAAATTTTGGAACCAGTAAAAACTGAGTTTTGTATTCTTTGTACGTACAGATTAAATGGGATACAGTAAATATTTCCTATAACGTGCAGATTAAATGGGATATTACATGGTCCACGATCATAATACGTTTCATCTCATCAACGCCAGTTCTTTCCGATTGACACGAAGCTCTAAAAAAATGCTTAATTACTAGTAGAACTATAAATGGACAGTTAATATTGAATCTTGAATCGTCCTAGCTAGTCTACCGTCGTCCTTGTCCTCTCAAATGCACGTAGTACGTACTGTTGCCTGCCGAATATCATCATCGCATCTGTTAATTGCTGGCAATGGTCACCGGAAGCATATATATGCACGATCCAACGAGCACCATTGGAGCGACCCATCGATCGAGATGAATTGAAGAGACTAGAGATGTGATGATGTCTTAGGCCAGTCACAATGGCTAGTGTCATTGCACGGCTACCCAAAATATTATACCATCTTCTCTCAAATGAAATCTTTTATGAAACAATCCCCACAGTGGAGGGGTTTCACTTTGACGTTTCCAAGACTAAGCAAAGCATTTAATTGATACAA